ACATTAAAAAAAGCACCTAGTGGACGAAGAAAACACAAATTTTTGGTAGGTACTACACTTTATTGAAGTCCTGAATAAGTCACCCGCAGGTCGCGGGTTCGATTCCCGGCTGCGGCGGTTGCATTTCCGATGGAGGCGGAAATGTTGTAAGCCCGTGTACTCAGATTTGGGTGCACGTTAAAGAACCCCAGGTGGTCAAAATTTCCGGAGCCCTCCACTACGGCGTCTCTCATAATCAAAGGGTGGTTTTGGGACGTTAAACCCCACAAATCAATCAAGTCCTGAATAAGTCATACCCAGTTTCATTGAGAGTGTACCACTAGCCACTCCGGCAAAAAAAAAACAATTGGCGTGGCAGTATTCAAGACCGACCGCCTATTCATGATACGAAGGCGATTGTCAAAACCACTCGGCATTAGACTTTTTTCACGCATAGCACCTTATGTTTGAGTTGAAACCGGTGTGCTGGCGGTGTGGCCACCCTCACTGCGCATGCGCGCCCACTCCCCCCTTCTCTTGCTTCACAGCGCTAACGCAGGCCTTGAGTATCTTGATTTGGAAAAAAATTGGCAGATCCCACGTACAGTGCGAATCAATGATATGCGAAGAAAGAATGAGAAATGTTGACATGTCACTTGAAAATCAGCACAACGTTACGAGGTGGAGGTAAATGATGCCGCACATGGCTTCCGTGTCATGATTATCATGTTTGGATGTGTCGTTTACCTTCGTCATCTATTCACGCCACGTGATACCAAATTTAGCACATGTGGAGCCAACGAAACGGCCGCGAGCGCGCTATAAGCGTGGTATGTTGTCATGTTCTTACATGGCACGCGTGTCAGGATTATCGTGTTTGCGCCATTCATATATTTCGTCATCCATTCATGTCACGTAACACCAAATTTGGTATATGTGGAGCTAGTAAAACGGCCGTGAGCGCATCACGAAGGTCATGATTTATAGTTCAATGTAGCGTCAACTTGCGCGCATGCTGGGCATAGTGACGCTACGTTAGCAAAACGCGAGCACTCTATATTCTGATGCCAGACAAGACCAGCGTCCGTCGGCGCAGCCCGACGGCAACCGGCGCGAAATGCGACATGGTGTATTTTACCCGGACAACACGGTGTCTCCCTCTTTTCATGACGGAGGGACGCCCGGCGCGCTCAAACGCGCATGCGTCGCAGCGTGGCGCACGCCTGCGAGTATATGGCAGGACCGGCGCCCGGCTTGCCAACTACGCCATGACGCGACGAAATGAATGCAGGCGAGCACGTGCACTGCGTCACGTCGAAATGTATTGGTGCCTTGACTGTGACATGTAGCCATGTACTCACATGACACGCATATCATGATTTTTGAGTTTGCAACATTCATATACTTTCGTCATTCGTTGGCGTTACGCAATACCAAATTTGGCATGTGTGATGCTAACAAAACGGCCGAGAGCGCATCATAAGTCTGGCATAGAGTCATGTTGTTACATGACACGCATGTCGTGATTATCATGTTTGGATGTATTGTTTACCTATGTCGTCTGTTCGCGTCGCGTAATACCGAGTTTGGTACATGTGAAGATAGCGAAACGGCCGTCAGTACATCATGAGCGGAGCATGTTTATCATGTTGTTACCTGACACGCATCTCATATTTGCACCAGTATCATACCTTCGTCATCGATTCACATTCCGTAATACCAAATTTGGTGTGAGTGAAGCTAGCGAAACGGCTGCCAGCGCCTCATGAGCGTTGCATGCATTCATGTTGTTACATGACCCATATCTCATGATTATCATGTTTGCACCAGTCAACTACCTTTGCCATCCATTCACGTACCGTAAAACCAAATTTGGTGTAAGTGAAGCTAGCGAAACGGCCACCAGCGCATCATGAGCGTTGCATGTAGTAATGTTGTTACATGACAGCATCTCATAATTATCTTGTTTGCACCAGTCACATAACTTTGTCATCCATTCACGTATCGTAATACCAAATTTGGTATATGTGACGCACTGCGAAACGGCCGCGAGCGCATCATGAGCGTGGCAAGTAGCCATGTTGGTACATCACACGCATGTCATGATTTTCATGTTACAGTCAGTCGCTTGTGTTCGCCATGCAAACATGTCATACCCTACCAGTTTTGCAACATAGCACGTGAATGAAACCACCGCAAGAGCAGCAAGCCCATGACAGATAGATATGTGGGGTTTAACTTCCCAAAATCACCATATGATTATGAGAGACGCCGTAGTGGAGGGCTTCGGAAATTTCGACCACCTGGGGTTCTTTAACGTGCACCCAAATCTGAGCACACGGGCCTACAACATTTCCGCCTCCATCGGAAATGCAGCCGCCGCAGCCGGTATTCGAACCCGCGACCTGCGGGTCAGCAGCCGAGTACCTTAGCCACTAGACCACCGCGGCGGGGCAGCAAGCCCATGACATGTAAAGAAAAACTTTATATCGTAAATATTATGATTTTCATGTTATGACGTTTAAAACATGTTCTTCATACAGTCATGGCATGCCATACCAAGTTTTGTATCGATACCATCATTGAAATGGCCAGGAGAGCTAAAAGTCGTAGGCGGTTAGATAGACAAATAGATACGCTCAAAGTCGGTGTAGTTGGCTAAGAAATCCTTCGCATTTAAAAACGGCTCCTCGCGCTGCACAACCATTCGCCCGCAACCCCGTATACATAAGCACTAAATCTCGACCTCTCCTGAGTGTTCTTGAGTGAGCAAAACCACTTTATTAGGTTCACAATACGCGCGAGCTAACTCGAACTCAGCTGGCGTTATTGAAGAAGAAACCTCGCAGCGGGGCGTGTGCGGTAACTATAAGTGGACTGCCAGCCTTTATGTTCAATCGAAGTCTTCTGTCTAGCATAGCGAGCTAGCTGCGCTTGGCATGTTCCAGTTAGAAACACTGGTTCATTACTGCGAGCTTTGCGCCTCCCCTGGTTTCTCTCCTGCATAATGCCGCAACGAGCACCAGCGTCAACGCCGCCGCCAGTGTAAGCGTTAGCGCCCGCTGCTTAGCATATACACATGTTTCTCTTCAGTAGAAGATGGTTTAATTTAAAGACGACAGTTTTTCTTGTGTTAATCCGACGCAACAATTTTCGTCTGTCTGTCTGTCTCTCTGTCTGTCTCCATGTCTGTCTCTCTGTCTGTACATTTCTCTGTTTGTCCTTCGTATGGCTATCCCAAACGGCCCAAAGTAATACTTTCATGGGCCAACCCCATCCGCAGTGCCCACCAATACTGCTCAAGTTTCAGCGTTGATACTTGCGCGATTTTCAATTAAAAAGCAAATATTGCGCATATCTGAGACGCCATAACGGTACGTCGATATTTTGTATGTATGTATTTATACTTGAAAAGGTATACTTAGATAATTATAAAGGTCATAGCAGTTATCATGCTGCGCTGACAATGCAAGGCGATGCTCGAAAAAGGCAAGTGTTTCCAATGCTTTGCTAGAACGACATAGTTGCGGCACCCGCTCGTCGCTTTGCATTCTACACCTTATAGCCTCCGAGACAGACGCGCATGCCTTCCTTCGTTTTCGATGACAACTGCCAGATAGCGCTCGTATGCCTTCTCTGCATGGATCAAGACTATCTAACACAGTGTCTCCGGAATACAATTCACCGATTCGTTCGTGCAGAACACAAATGAACGTTTTGTTCACTCTGTCCATACGCAAGAATCGTCTTTCGACATTTGCAGTAAAACATGCAGATATTGGGCCATTTTTTTCTCTTTCATAAAAAGGACTAATGTGTTCCTTGTACTTTTATCCTTTCACAATCACGAACACAAAGCAGGAAAGAATTTTCATTTATAGAACGAATGCTTCAAATAACCGCTAGTTGACACCCAGTACAATAGAACGGCCGTACTAATAATATTTCACCCAGGCAAAACACATTACGGCAGAGTTTTTATTTGCTAGCATACACCTCTTTGCTGACCGACCATCACAATGAAGTGGTATGCATAGGAAATTAATGCGTCTGCGTTTCTCTGCAACGTGCGCGCACGCTATAGGAGTGTGGACTAGTCTTGTAGTGTATAATAAAGATATGCGGTTGAAAATGGAAGTGAGGGTAAGGCGAATGGAACGTAGGAAGGGAGAACGTGTACAGAGAAACAAAGAAAAGGAGAGAGATAGAAAAACACACATATTTAAAGAAAGAGAAAAGTACAGTGAAAAAAATGGGAAGAAGAGGGGAAAATGTAGACCCAGAGCAAAATACACAGGAATATGCTCGCTGACTGCGAACACGGCCCTTTGCTGAGTTGAAAATTAATAAACATCCTGGACTTTGTTTTCTACTAACTCTGAAGCATTCAATGAACACCGAATAAATTAACGTGTAACGATTGTCCTTTTTTTGTATACTTGTGCACAAGCACCTAATGAAGTTGGTACATTGGTGTATATTTGTAGGTAAATATCTGAATCACAGTATGTTGGCTACGCCTTCGAGAATTTAGGTATAATGTGCCACTTGTGCTGGCACCATCTACTTAGCAAACACAAAAGTGGCGGTACGGTCGATGTTCTAAAAGATACATTTAATTTCGTGTATTTGAATTCCTTTTAGGTAGGGGTAGCCTGTTGGTGCAGATCATAAATTCGTATGATTATGCCTCACTCTAAGTAAGCTTCAAATTGATTACTTTTGTTCGCCTCAGTATTGTTCGACACTCTATATTTATTAAATACTTCAATGAAATGGTAATATAACAACATGTCCCAATTTTGGAAATATAACTGTAACGAGTTCTTTGTGCATTTATAGAACTTGTAAAGGGAACTTGTTCCAAAATTTGCAAGAAACGGAGAACAAGCTTCTGTTACAATTTGAGAGGCACGCATACAACGCTCGTTGAGCACTATGGTATAATCTCAAACTAAGACGTGGCGAACTTTTCATATTTATTGACATATGTATTGACATATTGATTGATTGATCTGCAGGAGATCAGTGCGTACGGATGAACCAGGCAGCAGCGGCAACCACGTGAGCGCGCTGGCCGAGGAACAGCCTCGCAGGAGTCTCTCTCTGGCCATCAAGGTTTCCATCGTCGTTGTCGTGATCGCCATCAACTTGCTCATCTATGCCAACCTGGCGTACTTCAAGTCGGATGTCCCGTTAGATGAAGATCAGTGAACTGTCCTTCACCAGTTCCTTCTTGATCACCGCGATTGAGGGCTGTAAAAATACGTTTCTGAATGCCCATAGATGCCGTGGTGCAAGTGTCGCGATAACGGGGCACTAGCACAGATTTATGCAACAACTATGAGTTAAGCCGTGGCAGTGTTTGGCGTTCACCCGAATACCTTCTACTTCGCTTCAGTGATTGAGACATACTCCCGTATTCAGAAACGCTCCTCGACTCAACTTTCACCCTTCACTTGACAGAGGGGAGCACTGAGTCGCTGCTCGGCTGAAAAGGATGCTGCGCTACTCAAGAATCGCAGCAGATTATCGCTGATATGCAGTGACTTGCCTTGCCTAGAGAAGGCGCTCCCATCGGCTTTCTGAAGTGGAGGTGAAGCGTTGAGTGAAGGGACGTTCTAAAATACGAGCGATAGTCACAAAGCACGCTTCAAGGGCTTCTATTGCTAACTGCCAAGTGTGGCAATGATTTCAAAAGTTCTGCATTTTTATATAATAAAGCTCACCAAGTAGGCTCGTTGTCCAAAGGGACTAAGTAGACTTTGTTTCCTATCCGTTTCGCAGAAACGTAATTCATTTTGATGATTGATTTGTGGGGTTTAGCGTCCCACAACCACCATATGAATATGAGAGACACCGTAGTGGAGGGCTCCGGAAATTTCGACCACCTGGGATTCTTTAACGTCCACCCACGGGCCTACAACATTTCCGCTTCCATCAGAAATGCAGCCGCCGCAGCCGGGATTCGATCCCGCGACCTGTGGGTCAACAGCCGAGTACTTTAGCCACTAGACCACCACGGCGGGGCGTAATTCATTTTCCGAATCGACAACGTGCCTCGTTATGTTGCGAAACACAAAACAATGACACCTTCGTTAATGTTTGATGGAGTAGTTGCATTCGGGCAGAGCAGAACGTCTCCACAATCACAATGTTCACCAAAATCGGCCACGAACCGATTGCAACAATAGAAAATGTAGTCCACATTATACGTAAGGCTACTCACGTGTGTATCAGTCAATGATGCCTTAATGTTTATATTATAAGTGTTTCGTTGAAGCGCCAGTTAAAATGCTGGTCATCCTGCCTGAAATGTAAGAGAAGCCATGCGATTTCGCCGGCAACAGTTATTCAAGGTTGTGTAATAGGGTATTTAGGTAGCACCACAGCTCACTCTGGTACAATAAATATTCATGTTTACGTGTGTATTATTCTTTAGTTGTGTAGCTCAATCTTAATTCCAGATAATCTCATTTTGACAAAAATGCTTTGTCGTGCTCCTTGAAGTACCAACGCCAGTGAACTGTGAAGTACACCCAAAATGCCAAAAAATGTACGAATATTCAAAATTTCAACAAGATTTGATTATTTTTATTGCAAGCACACTCATTTCAAAAGACGCATATTCGCCTTTTTATAAATATCCAGTCACATCAAAACATGCAGGTAATAAAAATGGCGAATATTCACAGAAATTTTGGATTTCGAAAGTAGTAACTGCTCAGGAATGCTTCACAATTAATATTACTAAAACAACGTTAATACGGGCAAATTATAATATTACTGTTGTACGTCATGGTTACTGCATTGCACCGTTCAGTGCATATTCATGATGTGCCCCCTGCAATTGCCTATGTTTTACTTCAATAACTCAGCAGTCTTCTTGATTGTTCTTACTCTAAAACAACAGCAGTGGCCTCTATTTCACAGACTTATTCTGCAGGTCTGTTACTCTCCATATGTTCTATTTACACGTTTTGTAAACAGGTAAAAGTAACCGTCATGGCTATAACCAGAACAGCCTTTAGATGCTTGCAACAATTATCTATGAATGTGCAAGCATCAGACTGCAGATGCAAATCATCTTCGCATTCAGGCGGGTTTTTCCAGCAAGTAAGCACGGCCCACATTGTAAAAATGTGTCGCTGTTAACTTTATCACAAGATAACATATATATTTGTGTATTACCAAAGCAATCTTCAATTATATGGGTATAGCGCACCACGACAAGGACAAGACACACACACACATACACCGTTAACTTGCAAGTACTGTTTTATTTGCGGTCACGGATGCTATTTATACAATATCAGTAGACTGATAAAACCTGGAAAACGTCTTGTTAAGATACAGCACAGCTAATGCACGCGTCATCACCGATTATGACAATCTGCACTTGCGAACATCAAAGTGAAGATTTTATAGATACTTCCTTGCTTTTATCTGACAGAGCCATAGAAGCCACACTCACACATTTTCCTTTCATTTTGTCAATTAATGGGCTTCAATGATTTCACGCGTAGTTCTGTCATAGTACCTATAGAGAATACGGGTAATTTTAAACACCGGGACGCAACCACACCTCTGACAGTAAAAAGGTCAAATCACCAGATACAGCTTTTCCTAGTAGTACTTGTGTTCGCTAAGTTGTTTGTTCCCACACCTTCCAGATTACACACACTCACAAGTCAAAGGATTGCAATAGACAACACCATGACAACAATTCACGAGTTTTCCTCGGATACTTAATCTTACAATACCGTTTCCCGCTATTGCCTGCATTATGCTTTTTGCACATTCCTTGTAATCGTTGGGGGGCAGAAAACACTACATCTGCACCAGCCTTTCTCGCTATCCTTCTGAAGGTATGTGAAATGTCATGCATGCAGGGCACTATAGCAACATTGCTGCCTTAGTGGCGGCTGCGTGGTCTGTAATGTTTGCCCTTCCTTTCCTAATTATATTTTTAGTGGTGTACAATACTCATATAAATGATTAACCTCAACTAGTTAGCCCACCAACGCACCTTATAATCTTCAATGTGCTGCATGCTAACTACTTGCAGTTTCACTCATTTAGTTTAAAGGAGCAATGAAGGCTATTGTGTCTAGTTTTTGCAACATTCCAACAACTCGTGCACAGGGTGTTTGAGAAGAACGCTTAGCTCGAGAAAGAAAATGAAGAAACTTGCAAGAATGAAATGCATTGAGCTCGTGCAGTATACAGTGGGTCAGAAGACGCCTTGGTCTTGATTAGTGTTGTGATAATAAAAATGATGTTGATCACGTCATATATGAGTTTGCTCGCGTTAAATGGCAATGGCCAGTCACTGACATCAAATAACACAGTATACTTTTATTACGCGATGTGTAATTACATGAAGTCTAATTTGCACGCAAATTTAGGTGCCATTTACTCTCTATCATGCATGCGTGACAAATGAGATACTAAGAAATTATGTGATCACTAGGGTGATTGTGCCGTTCCTTTACTTTCATTTTTAAACAATCTAAAGTTGTAGCTCACCGCAGTTTGCCTCAAGCTTGGCCTGACGGTACTGACGTAAGAGTTCCACAAGGCCCGCTCACGCGCGCCTTGCAAGAGGTTTTATTTCATTTCATTTCATTTATTTTTTCTCAATGCACAAGGCGTGGTGGAAAAACAAGTAACAATCTGTACAAACAAATGGAGCATGTTTAAAAAGGGTATGCGTTTATGGTACTCTTGAAGTTGGCCGGGTCAGTGATGGATGCGATGGAAGCGGGAAGGTGATTCCAGTCCGTGCTTGTTTTGGGTACGAATGAATTAAAATGGAGGTTTGTCCGGCTGCTTGTAATTCCAACTTTGAAGTGGTGATCGCTGCGGGATGAAATGTAGGATGGCAGCAAAAAAAGCGAGTTACTCATTGAGTGCATGGTATGGTACAACTTGTGGAAGAGGCACAAGTGCGAGATTTTGTGGCGAAATGATAGGCTAGGTAGATTTAAGGTTGACTTCATATGGGTTACGCTTGCTGTACGGGAATAGTTCGACAAAATGAAACGAGCAGCGCGATTTTGATTTGCTTCGATGCTACTGATATGGATGTTTACTTGGGGATCCCATACAGATGATGAATATTCTAGCTTTGGTCGGACTAATGTTTTATAGAGCAGAAGTTTCAGTTGCATCGGGGCAAGGGAGAAGTTACGGCGTAAATAACCAAGTGTGCGGTTAGCATTGTTTTTAATAAGGTTAATGTGAGACTGCCAGGAAAGGTTGTCAGAAATTGTAACGCCAAGGTACTTGTAAGAGCTTACTTTAGTAAGGGGAGAATTAATAAGTACGTAGTTAGTTGAAATATTACATGTTCGACGTGAAACTCTCATTACCTTGCATTTAGTAACATTAAGGTTCATTAGCCAAGTATCGCACCAAGATGAAACATTGTCTAAGTCACACTGAAGGGCAAGGTGGTCAGAAGGGGTTTTAATTTCGCGGTAAATAACACAATCATCGTCGAAAAGTTTAATAGAAGAAGAGATGTTATGTGGCAAATCGTTGATGTAAATCAGGAAGAGTAGTGGGCCAAGAACGGATCCTTGGGGGACGCCAGAGGTTACGGGTGAGAGGGGGGAGTTGGATTCATTCGCAGTTACAAATTGGGCGGTCTATTATTGAGCGGTCTGTTAGAAAGCATTCAATCCATTTTAATATGTTAGCATCAATATTAAGTTTGCTTAGCTTTAGCAGTAGCAGTTTATGGCATACAGTGTCAAAAGCTTTAGCAAAGTCGAGAAAAATACAGTCAACAAGGGAAGAAGCGTCAAGGGCAAGAAAAAGGTCATTAGTAAAGCAGAGAAGTTGGGTCTCACACGAGTACTGTTTCCGGAATCCATGCTGGTGATCACTAAGGAACGAGTTGTTTTCTAAAAAAAGTGATTATGTGGGAGTAGATGACGTGTTCCATGAGCTTACACGGTATACTTGTTAACGATATGGGCCTGTAATTGCGAAAGTTATGAACGTCACCTGATTTGTGAAGAGGAACCACCTCTCGCGCTTTCCAGTTGCCCGGGAGGCAATGACATTCCAAAGACTGTGTGAAAAGCTTACATAAAATGACATATGAGTAAACAGAGGTATTATGCAAAAACTTTGCGTAGATACCGTCTTCAACTGAAGAACTGGCTAATTTCATGTTTTCTATCAATTTTTGTATGCCGACATAGTCGAATAAAAGGGGTTCCATGGGAACAAAGTTGTGGGTGGAAGTACCGGGAAAGGAAAGTGCTGTAGGTTAAACAAAGCACGATGAAAACACAGAGCTTCAAATGACACAACACTCTTCTTTTGGTACATGGCTGTTATCATCATGAATTAATTCTATCGCTTTTTTTTCCTTTCCCCTAATCATCTGCCAAAATTTCTGTGGGTTAGTTGCAAGCAGGGAGGGAAGCGTTTGTTAATAATAATTTTCTTTTGCGACGGATAATGCGCGAGTGTACTCGTCAGCTGCGTGATGATAAGCGGACCACCTTTCCGCGTTGTTAGTTAGCTTTGCCCTTCAAAAAATTTGTTTCTTTTTATTCAGTAGTCGTTTTAGTGTAAACGTGAACCAAGGGGACTTTGCGTTTTGCCTAATTCCGCGGAGTGGAATAAAACGATGGGTGTGTTCTGCTACCTTCTGCTTAAACAAATTCCAGTTTTGTTGCACGGATCTTTCCAGAAATTGCGAAAGGTAATCGTTTAGGAAAAGCTGAAGCTCATTAATATTTGAAACATAGTCGGCTCTTTTGTAGTCCCTAAAAACTTTTGAGCTCTCATTTCTTTTAGTTGTTTTAGTCATGTTAAAATGAATAGCTAGATGGTCGCTTACGCCCGGATAACTGATAGGGATTTAATTAGGTCGGGATGCGTGGTCAGCACCAGTCTAGAACTGAGGAGGTGGACGAGGTAATGCGGGTTGGAGCGTTAAACCAGCTGGGTAAGGTTAAAGTCTGAACACACATCAAGAAAGGCAGCACTGTCAGCAGAAGTTGATGAAATTATTGGGAAAGGGGGAGACCACGAAGCATTAGGGAAGTTAAAGTCACCTAGGAGAAACATAGGCGCAGCGGGAAACCTTACTCGCAACTTATTTAGTACATCGTGTAATTCATTTGCGAAACCGGTAGTAAGGTTAGGAGGCCGGTAGCAGCCCAAACAATGATATTTTTGTGGTTTATGCGAAAACACGCGACAACAATTTCAAGCGGTGAAACAACAGGCACGCTGAACGAGCTACTCTCGTCACTAATGGCAATCAATACGCCGCCCCCGCACCTCGTACCCCGGTCACAGCGGTAGAATTTAAACTTTTTTGAACAGTTAAATATTTTGTTATTTTCAATTTCCGCGGACAGCCAAGTTTCAGTTACTAAGTTACTACAACGACATCAGCTATAC